TAGAATTTTATTCGTTCAAAAATCGAGGCCGCAAAATTTAGTCAAACTTGCGGTAGCCTTATTGGTGCCAAATTATGCATGTTTTGTGTCTATGGGTAAGGCTGTCTTCTTTTTTTTTTGGAAAGGAAGTTGAGGGGGGGGGGGTCTAATTGAGCAGTGCTCACAGTATTTCTAGTTGATTATATACATTAATTTAAAGCATAAAGACGAGAAAAAAGTGGACGGGAGTATCATGCGCTCATGGCGCAGCTCTTTATCACTAATGAACAGCTAGAAAAGTATTTCTAAAAATCCTTTAAGCAAGAAGAGATGACTGGGTATTGTAATATGGTCAACCCTGAACTTCTGCCGTCCGGCACTAAAACTTTTACTAAGTGTGGCGTCCGTTGGTCTAATTCTTGGTGTAAAACGAGTGCCACGTACGCTACATGTTAAGGAACCTTTGCAACAACTCTATCAGGGCTCTGTAAGTGGCATGTTGCAGGCAAAAATCTCCATTTTACAAGGATTTATTACCAAAATCTCTTTCCTATTCAACATAGCCTCCTTTTCCTGTGGCCGTCTAAATTTCTCGCCCTTAATTCAAGTCAATCTACACTGCAGAACATACTTAACGTATACATTGTCATTTTGTCAATCTGTTTAAAAATCAAATTTATCATAACTCGCCTACTGTTATATGTATAGCGAAATCACAAATTTTATTTTAATTAGATTGGTTTGTTTTGTACTGGTCATGAATATACATGAAATATTTGCCACAAGATGTTTACAGGAAGCAATAACCATTCTATCAACATAAAATCCTTAACAATTGTTTCAATAATATTTAAAAATGCAATCCATTCCAGAAATGAGTACAAGGTAACTAAAATTTTCAGTATTTTTAAAACTGTCATCTTATTTAATATTAATATGATTAAAGTAGATAAAAATTATGTACGGTATACGCCAATGAGATGACATACGGTTTTTAATATTAGACAGTTGTCTTTACAATATGTTAAGCTCTAGTTTGCTCCGAGTCCAAAAGACATATCAATACATTTCTTAGAGACTTTCAAAGGTCTGCTATCAACACCAAATGTCATGAATGACAAAACAGAAACTAAGATACAACTACAACAGTCACAGAAGCGACTCTTAACTTTGGGAAATGGAAATGAAGATATTGCGGAATTGAACTGGTTTTTGTAGCTCATAACCATCTCCTTTTTAAAAATTTTGATAAGTGAATAAAATTAACAATATCTACAAAAAATAACACCGTCCAATCAGTACAGAGAAGGCAATAAATACTATAAAAACTATCTAAAAGTTATCTTTTTTTAAATGAATCTCAAATAGTTTCATGTTCTGCATCACAAAGTAACATTAGCTATAACAAATAGTTTATGTAGCGATACAGTAAAACGTTAATTTGAAAATTTGTACTTTACAAACAATCGAAATTGGAAAATTGGGAGGTTTTTTTTGCTAAAACCAAGTTAATGCCATACCATCTCAAATTTTGACATTTATCGAATGCGACTTGTATTCGAAATTCACTTCCAATGAGCAACACAACCGATGTAGTGCATGAGTTCGCCCCCGTTTTTTATATAGGGTCCGTGTTGCTCAATCTTGAGGTTGTTTTGTAGTGTTTTTATGGACTGTTGTTTGTCTTATCATCTTGACGTTGTCTGCTATATATTTAGTTTTTGAATTCCTCCTTTGTATCTTCTACCTTTTTGTGAACAAAGCATTTCAATCGAAAATAACGGTTTCTATCTCATTTAAGTTTTAGTGGTTAATTAAAAAAAACATCCGAGCTGCATTTACGTTTGATTTTTCTACTCTCTACACCAACGTTTCCTCGTGCTGAATCGAAATATCAACGATATCATCTCAGTGCGTTTTCTCTAAAAATAAATATAGAAATAAATTTCTTGTCTCACGTCAGAAAAAATCTTACTTTGTGAAAAACCACACTTATTCAAACAACAAACACACCGCGAAGACAATATTATCAAAATGAAAACCCAAGGGTTGAATGGATTTCTCCCGTCCGCCAGTGCGGGTTACATAAATATGCAGCCACGTCCATTCGGAATGGGAACGTTAAATCATATACCTCGTATAGGGCGATTGCCACGCCCTCTTCACGCTAAAAAATCCCTGTTACAATAGCTGGCCTGTTCCAAGGCAACATTTTTGCCCATATCCAACATACCCTCATTTTAAATTTGCAGCCCAAGATTCCAACGCTCTTCATCCTGGTCGACCTGCATGTACTTTACAGAACCTGCACAATTCATGAATTGTTAATTTGTTCTCGTCCTGAATATGTAAGAAATGTTTTCTTCTCAACGTTAAGCAAATAGTTATCAAAGGTACCAGCGGCTCTTTTCACAAAAAATCTTAAGAGTAAAAATACTCGTAAGTCATACACATTTCAGTATAACTTACGATCAATTTTAATCGTAAGATTTTTTGTGAAAAGAGTCGCAGGATTATAATTTAATACGCCAGACGCGCGTTTCGTCTACATAAGACTCATCAGTGAAGCTCTGATCAAAATAGTTAAAAAGCCAAACAAGTACAAAAATATAGGTTCTATAAATGGGTAGAATGGGAGAATTTTGACTGCCACTGGGGAAAAAAGTGTCTGTCGGATAGGGACAAAAATTTTGCCTTGAAACAGGCCACCTATACGAACCCTTCAAATATTTGCTACACGATTTTTCTACTGTACAGAATGCGTGGCACTCACACAGAAGGAGACAAATAATGAAACACTGTGGCTGATAGTTCGACAGAACAATCAGCACTATAAATAGTTATAAGAGGTGCTCAAGAAAGATATTAAGTATACTCCATATTGTCCCAACAAAACATACTTTTTTTTCAAATGAGGTGACATCTCATTTTCCTTTGTAAAAGTTAATCTACCATCCGTTCGGAAAAAAAATATCAATATTAAATTTGCTTGGCTCTCAAGTAAAAAGACAGACATGAATATTTCAACTTACCAATTATTAAATTTCCATTTCTCAGCAGTAACAAACTTTAGATCTTTAGATATCAGTATAGTAGTCTTATCTGTAGTGATTGTGAGATTTATAGACTACGTGTGGATTCCAATGGCGGTTTATGCACATGAAGCAGGAGTCATCATATCATCATCGGGATGCACCAGATGTCGCTCCTTTTGGGGGTTCATTGGTTCCATCAGTTTTTGTTTTGTCACTTTGATTTGTCTTCTTAATCTCTGAGATTTGAACAGCGGTAAACTACTGTTGCCTGAATTTAGTTCAAAGAAAGTCATATAAACTCAGTATTGCTTAGCAAGTGTATAATTGTTTTCTATCACTTAGATTTCATCTTAAATACTTGTTCAGTATCTCTAATTCATATTTTTATTTATTATCGCCAATCTCTCATCCGTTCGAGAAAAAAATAGTATACTTGTATTAAATATGCTTGGCTCAACTTGCCTATGGAAAAGATCAGCTTTCAGTCTGTAAGTAAGATGTTCAATCTGTATGATGTTCAGGATTTTTAACAGTTAGCTGCCATTCAACCTCGAACTGTTGGTTGACGTAGGATAAATGTATAGACCATTTAATTTGTTATTATAAAAACAAAGCAATGCAAACTTTGAGTTGTTGAAATAACCAAAAGAAAAAAAAATATAGCCAAACCCGGATATGCAATACCAATAAATATTATGAACTGCACTTTTACTGTTAGTGACAAACTAAATATTACAGTTTCATGAAAAAAAATAAGCATTTGCTTTTAAGGGAATGAATATTTGTTTCTGAAAAACAAAATTTACTTTCAATAGAATGATTGCTCCTGTATGGAGAGAATACATTTCATCATTTTATGAGATAAATTAAAATAGGTTAAATCTATCTAAATTGAGGATAGAGTCATCGGTAATAGTAATGATTAAACGGAGATGTACATGTAGAGTATACGTCAATGCAATAGTACTTTATATTCTTCATCAAATGTTCAGAAAAACGGAATGATATCGTGATATCCTCGGATGGCACATACAAAATTGCGATACTTTGGATATTGGTGAAGGTTCAGGAATTTTTTGAAATGTTGTGTAAATGAAATTGACCATGGTCTCATCTTTTTATCTTATTTTGGGTTTAAATAATTTTTCGAGGATAAAAAATTGTGTGTTTCGTTGTTTTAGCTTGAAACATAATACTACATAAATGAATTAATAAATTAATTAATAAACAACGAATGGGATGCAGATAATCTTTAAATTTACAATCACTTATATTTAAGTGTTATTGATTCTAAAAATATATCGTTTTTCACTGTATATTATTGAAATAAAACTACTTCTCATTACATATCATCAGTATATTTACGGATTTAATCTGCATAAGGTCCATTGCGGCTGGTTCGAGTTTTTCGGAAGTTGTGGACTTTTTTTATTAACCTCGAAGTATGTTAATTCAGAAACGCTCTTTTCCTTGATAAATCCAGTTTCATTTAAAAATACTTCGTGTCATACTAATTAAAGTTTAACGATTTAATGTATCAATATTTAAAATTTGGGAAAAGGAATTTAATAATAATCTTTCCTCAATTGACAGTATTTGCATTAATTCATAATCACGAGACATAATTTAGTATTTTTATCTTTGTATTTGATCGAAACACAACAGTGAATATGCCCACAAAATTTCTAACAATATTATTGGGAAATACAATACGAGAGTGCGAAATGACGCGTTAAATATACCAGAAAAATAATGTGTCAAGACTATTTTATTTTCACATAAAAGTTATCATATAAACCCACCTCATTACATTTGAATAAAAGATGTCAACAAATTCACAATCGTTGAATAGACTATTGTGCATAGTGCGAACCCATCATCTGATATCAAGTCAAGTAACACGCCCCTCGCGTATTCATTAGTACGTCCTCTTGATTGTAATCGACCAATCGTTTTCTCGATTATTCTCAATTAAAAATATAGATGGTGTAAATATAACTTGAATATCAAAACACACTTAAATTTGATAAATCCAGCATGATGGATACTGTTGCAGCTAACATAGATCCAACATATGAACCCGATCCTATGGACTGTGTCAATACACCAGTAACAGTAGGACCTACGAATGGTACAGTACAAAATTTAACAGATACCACCAAAACTGAGGATAAAGATTCAGAGGACAGCAGAGAAAATTCAACGCCTGGAAGTGATTTTGATCCAGAAAAACGTTTATCTTTATCACCAGAACAAGGGACCGACAAGAGACTAACCTTCTCTCCAGAACAAGTGGCATGTGTTTGCGAGGCTTTACAACAAAAAGGAGACGTTGAGAGACTAGCCCGTTTTCTGTGGTCCTTACCACCTAGTGAATTATTGAGAGGTAGTGAGGCAGTGCTTAAAGCTAGGGCTCTTGTTGCATTTCATAGAGGAAGTTACAGAGAACTATACGTAATTGTAGAAAGTCACAAATTTGACGAAAGCAATCACAGTTTTCTGCAAGATTTGTGGTACAAAGCGCACTATATGGAGGCTCAGAAAATCCGTGGAAGACCTCTTGGTGCCGTTGACAAATACAGACTCAGACGAAAACATCCTCTACCGAAAACTATCTGGGATGGAGAAGAGACAGTGTATTGTTTCAAGGAAAAATCGAGACAAGCATTGAAGGATTGTTATAAAAATAACAGATACCCAACACCAGACGAAAAGCGAAATTTAGCCAAAAAAACCGGTTTAACATTAACACAAGTGAGTAACTGGTTCAAGAACAGACGGCAGCGTGACAGAACACCTAGCCAGCAGACGATGCACGGGTTAGTATTAAAATAATGTAGCAACACAATATACTTCATCTTAAAATGTGACAAAAAGATATCACTTGATAAACTTAAATGTCTATAAAAATCCCATTAATGTTACCCGTTTTCCATTTCACCCCACATCTGAATTTCATAATCTAAAATACTGGCGTCAACATAACAGCTGATGTTAAAAAGATACTTGTTTAAAAAATGAGATAAATTGCTGAGAAATTTGATATGCATTTTGACAATACATTTTACAAATTCAATTTTATTTTGAATAAAGAAAACTTATCAAATATTATTTAGAAAAAGCGATTAATTAAGAGATATGCACACGATTGCAATGAATATCCTCGACTATAGCATATCAACCATAGAAAATGTTCTGATTTTTTAAAATTTGTATTTACTTAACTTGAATCAACATTATATTGTAAACGACATGCTTCCTCTTCACAGATAATTCTTTGTGTTTTTCTCTATACAATCCGAAGATCCTCTTTTCAACTTTTATATTTTCAAAATGTTCGAAATGTAAGAAGTTTTGTAAACACATTTCTATTTGCTTTAGGAATAATTTTCAAGCCCCTATTCAACCCATTTAGCTTAATTAAGAAATATTTAAATTGATGAGTAAATTACTAGCTGCACATTTGGAGGTAATACCTTGTTTTCATGTGTCATTTGTTAAAGATATTGTATACATGTGATTGTCAATCTCAGAGAGTAAATAAATTGTATGAAATATTTGCTCATGAAAAGCTACAAAATTGAAAATCAACAAGTAGATCCACTTTTAACCACTTCAATTCAGACAGTATAAAAACGTTGAACAGGTCAAAAGAGGTTGCAATTTGTTGAACTAAAAATAGCATTGTCCTAAATGAACAAAAGATTGAGTTCAAGATCAGGAATTTGTTTTAAAATATAACAGTTACGTGAAAAATATTTGATTGACAAATAGTTTTTTTTTCTTGCATTTAATTCATATAGTAATTTTCTCTTATTGTGAAAAAATTAAGTAAGTACATTTTTCAATTAGTTGATATTGCGGTCACACATGTCCCTTAATAAGAAATATTCATAGCATATACATGTAAATGTAAATATATAAAATATATTTTCAAAATGGCTTTCATGTTGAAAAAGTAATGAAAAAACACAAGCAGTACAATTAATTACTACAGCTTGCATTAAGCGTCTTGCAAATTAAGTTTTATTTGACTTTCTGCTCTTATATATATATATGTGTGTGTGTGTGTGTGTCCTTGGGCTGTTTTCTGCTCTGATCGGGTTGTTGTCTTTTTGACGCATTCCCCTTTCCAATCTCAATTTTATTTTTTTACGAAAAGTTCAGTAGAAAACTATGCTTTTTACATACATCTGTAAATATATATATATTTATGTATGCGTAGATATGATTATTTACCCCTCCCCGACCGTGACTTGGACTTGTACTATTCGTCACACTTCTACGGCAACCATTTTTTTTAACTAAATATTTTCGAACCGAAAACCATCAAACCTGATTTATCGTCCTGTTCATGAAGATGATTCGGCATAATCGTTTTATACTTAAAAATATTTAATATGCACTATCTCAAATTAAATTACAGTGTTTATAAAATGGTCAAAATATTAACACTGTGTAAATAACTGAAACAGATGTTCCAACAATAATATTGGAAGATATAGTGAGTAGATATCCCCCTTTTTCTAGTTTTAACAATTCAAAGCTTTCCAAGAGTTTGTTTGTCCAATACTATTCCATTGATATGTTCCGGGTGTCACTACTTTCAAGTTGTAAGTCAATTTTCAGTAATTTTTACAGCATTTGAAAAATTTTACGAAAACTATTAGTTATGCAATTTTTATAGCTAATATTAAAAATGATCAATGCTGATAATAAATCCATTCTGCGTTCGTGTCATAAAACACATTTATCATGAATAATATAAACGATAACAAAAGTTAAATTATGCAAAAAAAAAAAACCATACAGGAATATTTTCACGGTTGTATCTTACATGTCTGAATTGTGTATATTTATGACATAATGTGATTCAAAATTATTTTTGGAAACAGTTCATTTTTATTTTTTGTATGTAACTATATATATTCCATAAACACTTCTTTCTTTGTTATTTTGAAATCGTACATTTGAAAGATGGAATATATAGTTATAAAAATAAGATGTGGTATCATTGCCGAAGAGACAACTTTCCATCCAAGAACAAAATTAATGACTAGCTTTAGTTCATAGTTGTTCATATTCAAGAGATCTATTATTTTTACTAATATGCAAAGTTTCATCTTTGAAATTTGATTTAAAATCTTTGCATGGTTTCAGTATTTCTACTATATATCGTTAAACAAACAATATTCATCATTTTTCAAATATAAAATGCATGTGTAGAATTTTGACGCTAAAATGTATGAATGAGCTATTGTTCAATTTTGAACTGTCATAAAAATTATCGTCTCTATCTTGTGAAAATATTCAATCTAGTAGCAGTGTTTAGGTAGAAGCTGCTTGCTGTCATATTCATCGCAGGTTATGATTAAAGGTGCGCAGTTTGAACACATCTGAATGTGTTATGATAATGAGGCATCATATTAAAGACGACAAAATAACTTAGAAATGTTCTCATTTAATCGACAAAAAACGATTTTTCAAACCTTATCTGAAATTGTTCGCAGTAAGTTAATTATCAATTCTAATTCAAAAACTTGTTGCGTATAATTGAATTCGCTCCAGTGCACCTGTAAAAGCTCCCGTTTTTGGTCTTTTCTGAGCAGTTGACCCGTATAAATGATTAAAACTTAAGCGATGAACTGCCATAAGCCGAAAGGGCTAAATAATAAATGCAGGTATGGAAAAAGAAGAATGCCAAAACTTCTTAGAAAGGGTTGGTGCCTAAAGCAGAACCTTTTCGTTGTGGTGTCTTGACCTTAAAATGGGGATAATGACACTCAGATCATTTGAGGACACAAACTTAATTGTACTTGTCAGTTTTCCCTAATTATACAGCGGAACAATACTTCCACAAACTACACACCATGTGATTAGCTCTGTGGTAGTAACGATGTTTATTATGAGAGAAATAATAAGAGGTAATTCACAAATGCAGGAAATGATCACCATCAAACGTAGAAAACGGTTATAATAGCACTCCTCGAAGGACATGGGACTACAGGGCAACCAGGGTCAAAACTCGAGATGTCAAAAGGCTATATAGAGTGTAAATGTATTAATTGAAAGTTTAATCAAGATATTTTTGTAAGACTTTACAGTAAACCAGTTATTAAACCTATGCAGTAATAGTATTGTATTTTCACAGAGATCCATCAAGTTGGATGTTCATATGAAACTTTGTGCTGTTCCAAGCCTATTGCTTTTAAAAAATGGTTTCGACAATTGCCAATCATTCCACTACCCGAGCAATATATAATATATGCAAAATGAATATATGTATACAGACGCTATATTTTTTCCAAATAAATCTGTATCTGTCCGAGATAGTAGCTTTTGCGCAAACTTAAACCAAATTAGAATTCTTGACATCTTTCACGATATTTTAAATATATCTGTGACAATGAACTTGGATATGGGGTATTGGATGCTCCAAATCCAATAAAAATGTAGGTCGAAATTGTCTTGGGCCGTCTGAACGAAAACTGAATAATTCAAATCTAGAACCTTCAAAAATGGTTCAATATCTTATGGTCGTCAATCAATATTAACAGCTGTATTTATATTAACAAGACAATTGTACAAATGCTTCTTTAATGCGGTAGCAATGGGTTTTTTTTCTGTGTTGTACAAGATAATGATATGGTCCTATAACGTTGTCGTCGTGGCCCGTCTGAAAATTCAGTTTTTGATCTTGTTCCTGATAATTCCTAAATTTTTAAGCAATCATCTGATCTGAGCCGATTAAAGAGGATTGATACTCCAACGGAGACTTTAGTTAACCCGTTACAGAGCTACAGGTTTTAAAAATGTACATATTGTTTTGTAATAGTTTTTTTTTAAATTCCTTTCATAAAAGTGCCGACCATTTTGATTCTGTGAAGCGGACTTGATGGCCTAAGGGACACATATTTATATATGTATATATTAAGTTCTGACGCCTCAAATATTATTTTTTTTGTTTCATGTGGGTTTTCGGCGCATATTTATTGTTGAAATCCTTTCGAAAAATGTCCTGTCTAGGTTTTAAGCCTTTCGAAATATTAGAAGCTCGAATGGACTTCACCCAAAATGTTGAATATCCGTGTTTTCCAATCACATTCCTGACTTATAATTGTCACTAAATCAAATTTAACCAGTCTCTGTAGGTTTCTGAAATAAAATAGGAGTAAGTTCTTTTGGTTTTAATCTTAATTTTCATCGGGATTCATACTTGTATTTTAATGTAAAACTTATGCAAATAAAAATAAAAGGAAACGTGCTGTATACGTGAACGGACTCAGATCAACAAAAAAAAACCAACCTAAAACAACATTTGTTTAAACAAATTTGCAGTAGCTGTTATGATCTACGAAATATTAGAGACTTTTTCTCGCATAATACCGTCTCCAGCATCTATAATATATATGTTTAGATATATCATCATCATCATTTATTAGTTTATCCTCAACTGCTTTTCGGGTGGTTTTTATATATAGTTATTTCTATTTTTTTTCTGTTACACTAGGCTTTGGAAAATTGAGGCCGTGTATTGAACGTGTCCATCTAAAACCTGGTGTTTGTGGTTCAGTGTGTGTTGTTGTCTTTGTGATGCGTTTGTTTTCTTTTGTTTTATGTTATTGACTTAAAATAAGCCTGATGGTTTTATCGTAAATATTTTATATAAGTTAACCCATGGCCTAACTGACCAGTTGTTGTAGGTCGTACGGTATATATAAACATTACCGCTTAGTCGTTGGTTGTAAGATGTCATTTAGCAATCATCTAACATCTCCCTATTTTTTAGGAAATGCTTTCCGTTCTTGATTGTTCAGTT